CTGTGGCCCCACCCCCTCTTCCTCCAGGGGCCGCACTTCTGTCTGAGGACTGACTCAGGACTCCCAAGTTTTCTTAAAGTGAAAAGTATCTGGTACATGCAAATGCGAGTCCCAAACATTCACCCGAGCAGGAATCTCACGGCCACCCTCAGCTCTCCAAGGCCAGCGCCCACCCAAGCCTCAGCCACTCCCACCCGGTGCGGAGGGGAGAAAGGGGCAGCGTGGCGTCCACGCTGAGTTCTGCTCCAAGGGCTGGCCCGGCATGGCGGGCGGAAGCTGGCTGGCTTTCACAGGGAAGCGGACACGCTCAGCCCCGGGGAGTCGGAGAAGCTTGAAGCCAGAGCCGGGAGGCAGGAATCAGGACAGACTCCTTCTGGGGTGCAGGCCCTGGGGGCTGTGGGAGGCAGAGCCGGGCCAGGCAAGGCCCCTGGGCCCCGGGACCGGGAAAGATTTCAGCTCTCTCTCCCTAGGCAACACGCCTGCTTCCTGCCCGCCCCCTGGAGCTTTGCGGTAGGAGCAGGCCCCTGAGACATCCCCGGTGCTCAACAAACCAGCTTTGCAAACAAGTCCAAGCAGTGTGCCTGCCCTCCCCTTGCAGGCCCCGGAGGTGTGTTGGCAGGACCAGCTCAGGGCTCACAGAGATCCCTCTACCCTCAGCCACAGGGCAAAGTGGGTGACTCTGTGCCCGGGCTCTGCCTGTCAGTCTGACCCCGCCAGAGGGGGCCAGCCCTAAGGGTGTGGGGTGCCCCACAGGCCTGCGTCTCCAGAAAAAGAACTAACCTGGTTCCACATTCAAGCCTGGGGCTCCCTCCTGCCCCTTCCTCTCCTCCCACCCTCCTTCCTTGCCCTCTCCTCTTCCCACTGCTGAGTGGGGTGAGCACCCTCTGGTCACCTGCTCTCTCATGGAACAAGCCCTAAGAAATACGCAGCAAGGGGAAGGGGCGTGCGATCCAGCACCTCCCCCTCACGGGTGATCATTAAACACAGCAATTAAGCAACTCAGGGAACAAGGAGGGGTGCGGGCCAGATGTTACCAGCTACGCGCCTAAGACGGGGCTGGCCCCACACAACCTCGATGGCCATTCGGCAGCCTCGGAAACGACCTCTCGGTCAGGAAAAGGGAGTGTGGCCAGACAATCCTAGTCACTGAGTCTCCGTCTGGGAGACAGCTTGATATGAGGAGAGGGGCTAGAGGGGGAGAGTCCTGCTCCATCCCCAGGCCCCATAGTCTGCACCCCCACCCCAGACCCTATCTCCCCACCCCCAGGCCCCAGAGCTCCTCATTCTTTTTTTGTTAATCCTCACCCGAGGATATTTTCCCATTGATTTTTGGAAAGAGTGGAAGAGAGAGGGAAAGAGAGAGAAACATCAAAGTGAGAGACCGGATGTGAGGGCGATCTGGCTGCGACATCTGTCACCCCATTGATCGCCAGGGTTGATTCGGCTGATCTGGCTGGCTAGGCGGGTGTCCCCCTCCTCCCTCACCGATCCATGTGCGTCCCTTCCGAAGCTGCGCGCTCGGTCGAAAGGAAGACCTCCCCCCCCCCCCCCCCAGGAGAGGACCAGTCTTCGGTCAAGGGTATACGAGTAGCTGCGCTCCCCTGCTAGAACCTCCAAACAAGCTCTCAAAGTGAGAGAGACACATTGATTGGTTGCCTCATGCACTCGCCCTGACCAGGGCCCAGGTCAGGGAGGAGCCTGCAATCGAGGTACATGCCCTTGACCAGAATCGAACCCACAACCCTTCGGTCTGCAGGCCGAAGCTCTATCCATTGAGCCACACCGGCCAGGGCCAGAGCTTCTCATTCCTTAACCCATCAGCACAGCCCTGCGGACCTTCCCCCTCGCAGGCTTTGACTAACTGGGAGGCAAGTGCCTATGACTGAGCGAGAGGCCTGCTTCCCTCCCCCTTGGCCACCCTCGGCCATGCGAGGTGGGAGGTCCCCTGCCCCCTGTGGGGCATGGTTTCCTCGTCCTTAGGGGAGCTCTGTGCACGGGTCCCGCTGTCCCCACATCTTCCCCCGGGGCTGAGAGCAAGGATGGCATCTGTGCCCCAAGCTCAGGGCGATGCTGGGGCCGAGCAGGTGGCGCCAGTTCTGGAGCCTGCTGGTCGCCCACCTACACATCACTCCGCTTTCTCCTGGACCCCGAGGGTGGCTCAGGGCTCCTGTGGGCCCTGCTGCCCTGACCTAGCGGCACCGTCCTCAGAGGAGGCAGGGCTGCCACCTGGAGAAGAGTGCTGTGCCCACAGTCTCTCTCACACACGAAGGCACATGCACACGCACATGCACGCACACCTGTGCACACACACAGACGCACATGCACGTGTGCACATGCACGCACACATGTGCACACGCACACACACACACTCAGTGTGCGCTGGGTTCCCACAGAGGCTGGTCTGTGAACACTGGAGCAGCCCGGGACCCAGCAGCAGGAGGTGTGGATAAGGGGCCAGTTTCCTGGCCGTGGGTTTGAATTCCCCAGGAATCCCTGACCTGCTGCCGTGGTCACGGTGGGAACCTGGGCTGATCAGAGAGGAGAGGAGGGGGAGCTGGTGTGGAGTGGCACTGTGCCACCCCCAGGGGAGCCCAAGAGACCTCAGCCTCACAGAGGTCCGTTTCGTCGGGTCCATGAACCCACCGTACAGCGGTGCCGAAGGTACCAGAGGACACGCCGGTGTTCACCCATCCGGCGTCGGGGTGTCACTAAATCAGTGGCTCCCGAGTAAACACTCTGCCCTCTCCACCACCCCACCGAGCCCCGGGACAGCGCAAGCACTTACATCTGCAGAAGCGGCGCTGCACTGCCCCCGAAGGCTTCCAGCTTCTGTTCTCAGCACAACTGCCTACAACATGTGCCCAAGCCAGCGGGGCAGCTGCCAGCTCTGACCAATATAAACAAGAAGAGGTGCGGGTGCCAGAGCCGGAGTCGGCTTACACTGAACCCATCTGGTTCATGAAATTACATTCTGGACTAATAAAGACCCTTCCCTCATCTCTCCTCGTCTGACACTCAGAACTCATGTGCACATCACAGATCTTAACTCTGCGCCTCTGTGTCCTCTGCATGGTCTCCTCCGCCGTCACAGTCCCCCCAGGAATGGAGAGCAGGACAGTTACACAGGCCTCCCTGTGGAACCGCCCTGTAAGAAGAGAGAAACCCCTTCCCAAAAGGGGGCTCCATGGATCCTCCAAGTCCCTGCAAGCCCTCCCGGCCAAGTGTGGAGCTGCAGGGAAGGGGGCGGGGGCACCGGAGGAGGCACAGGGCAGAGGAGCCAAATGGAAAAAGGGCCGGGAGTGGGGGGGAGGCCCCCCATCGGTGTAAGTCTGAGGCCTGAGGAACAAGCGTCCAAGTTGCACACAGCCCCAGGCAGGGGTAGAAACCACCATCCCAACCATCACACGTGCAAACCACCCGGCATTCCCACACCCGATCCCCCTCCTCGGAGCCGGAGCTGGGAGACCGCACTGCAGCCCCAAGATTCAGCTCCAAAGAAGACGCGGAAAACAGCAAAGAACTAACTCATGGC